ACAGGCACGCGCCACCATGCCCAGCTAATTTTTTGTATTTTTAGTAGAGACAGGGTTTCACCGTGTTGACCAGGATGGTCTCAATCTCTTGACCTTGTGATCCACCCGCCTCGGCCTCCCACAGTGCTGGGATTACAGGCTTGAGCCACCGCGCCCGGCCCCTTTTTAAACTTTTGACTCTTATAATAACACAACTTAAAACACACATTGTACAGCTGTACAAAGACATTTTTCTTTATATCCTTATTTTTTTTTCTATTAAACATTTTATGTTTTTTGTTAAAAGCTAATACACAAACCCACACATTAGCCTAGGCCTACACAGGGTCAGGAGCATCAATACCACTGTCTTCCACCTCCACGTCTTGCCCACTGGAAGGTCTTCAGGGGCAGTAACACACATGGAGCTGTCATCTCCTGTGATAACAATGCCTTCTTCTGGGTACCTCCTACAGGATCTGCCTAAGGCTGTTTCACAGTTAACTTAAAAAAATAAGTAGAAGCAGCATGTTGCAAAATAATGATAAAAGTATAGCGCAGTAAACACATAAACAGGTGCAGCCATTTATTCTCATTATCAAATATCATGCACTGTACATAATTGTATGTGCTACACTTTTATATGACTGGCAGCACCACGAGCACACGAGCAAGGCATTGCGCTGCATTGCAATGCTACAGCATCACTGGGTGATAGGAATTTCCCAGCTCCATTGTAATTTTAGGCAGTCTGTCATTGGCCAAAATGTCATTAGTGGTGCTTGACTGTAGACTGTAGTTTCAGCTTTGAGTTACTAAGAAGAGTGACAAACATTTTAAGTAGATTTTGAAGGGGTTATTGTTTTTATGGTTAATTTCTAATTTTGCTATATCAAGGTAAGAGCAGCTTTAGAATTTGTTTAATTCTTTGGACTTAAATCTTGGCTAATTTTTGTGAATGTTTCTGGGGTGTTTAAAAAGGATGTGTGGTTTTTATTTCCCATTTATTGAGTATAAATCTATATGATCGAATCTGTTAATTTTATTATTTAGATGTTCTTTACCCTTTCTTCTACATTGGTCTATTTGAACTGCCATGCTCTACTACCTGTATTAAATTTGCCACTGTGTGTGTGTGTGTTCTCCTTATAGTTCTATCAGTGTGTGATTGATACATTTCCAAACTACATTGTTAGACACATGTAGTTTTATGACTGTTACATATTTTGGATGGATTATACCTTTTATCAATATAAAATCTCTCTTTGTCTTGTTGAATGCCTTTCACCTGGAATTCTATTTCTGCTACTGCTATTATTACATCTACAATGTGAGCCTTATATGGTATTTGTTTTTCCATCCTTTTTATTTTCATTTTCTTTAGGTCATTTTGTTTATATCTGTTACAAACAGGCTAGAGCTAGATATCTTAAAGTCAACAGAGTATCTTTTAACAGTGAACATTGGCTCAATAATTTTTAGTAATTATCTTTTTTTTTTTTTTGAGATAGAGTCTCGCTCTGTCGCCCATGCTGGAGTGCAGTGGCACAATCTTGGCTCACCGCAACCTCATCTCCTGGTTTCAAGTGATTCTGTTGCCTCAGCGTCCTGAGTAGCTGGGACTACAGGCATGCACCACCATGCCCAGCTAATTTTTTTTTGTATTTTTAGTAGAGATGGGGTTTCACTGTGTTAGCCAGGATGGTGTCTATCTCCTGACTTCATGATCCATCTAACTCGGCCTCCCAAAGTGCTGGGATTACAGGTGTGAGCTACTGCACCTGGCCTATCGTTGTTCTTCTTCCTGCCATCTCATTTCATTATTCTAATTTCCATATTTTATTTATTTATTTTTCTACTTTTGCTTTACCTTCCTTTTGACGTTTGTCCATTTTTTCCTCCAGTGGTTTAGAATGTATACATTCCATTTCTAGTTTTTTAGTGATTGACTTTTAAATATTTAACATATGCATTTATACATACTTTCCCTTAGTTTTGTACAGAATTAAACAGCATCTATTTCTTACCCCCAAACAAGAGAAGAATCTTAGCATGGTTTCAGGTTTCTCATTCTTCTACCACCTCACCCCCTACCTTGTAGAGATAACATAAAATATTACTTCCAAATCGTCATTAAGGTTTTGTACATTTCCCCCTCAACAATTATCTGACTTTATATAAACTTTATAATGTCCTTGTTCGTAACTCACAACTATAGACTTCATTATTTTTTACTCGTATCATTACTCTGCTCATTCTATTTCTTTGATTCATATTTCATTCTGTGGAAGTACAGCCTGAGTAATTGCTTCAAGGAAGGCTTATGTGGGGGAGTAAACTTTATGGGTTCTTACGCTTTTGGAAATGTCTCTGTTTTACTTGACTACTTGAATGCTGTTTAGACTGCATATAGAGGGCCAGGTTCAAAAATACATTTTCCTTGTAATTTTGAACATATTATTCCATTGTCTTCTATTATATATATACTTTTGTTAATGAGAAGTCTAATGCTAATGATGATTTTGAAGGTAATTCCCCTTTTCTTCTTTGGCAACACTATTAAAGAGACTTCCTTCTCCATTGTGCATTCTTGGCACCTTTGTCGAAAGTCAGTTGGCTATAAATGATTGGGTTTATTTCTCAGGTTTCTATCCTGAGCCATTGCTCTATGTGCCTGTTTTTATGCCAGTACCATGCTGTTTTGGTTACTATAGCTTTGTAACAGATTTTGATATCAGGCAATGTAGTGCCTCCAGCTTTGTTCTTGCTCAAGACTGCTTTGGCTATTCAGGGTCTTTTGTGGTTCCATATGAAGTTTAGGATTGTTTTTTCCATTTCCATAAAAAATGACTTTGGCATTTTGATAGGAATTGTATTTGTAGGTTGCTTTGGGTAGTATGGTCATTTTAACAATATTAATTCTTCCAATCCATGAACACACAATATCTTTCCATTTATTTATGTCACCAACTATTTCTTTTATTATGTTTTGTAAGTTCTCAGTTTATAGATGATTCAATTTACTCCAATTTATTTTGTTTTTTTTGTTTGTTTGTTTTTAATTTTTTTATTTTATTTTTTTATTTATATATATATATATTTTTTTTTGTTTTTTTTATGCTATTGTAAAAGGGGCTGATTTCTTAATTTCTCTTTCAGATAGTTCATTATTAGTGTAAATAAATGCTACTCATTTTTGTGTGGTTGATTTTGTGTCCTGCAACTTTACTGAATTAGTTTATCAGTTGTAATACTTTTTCAGTGGTCTTTAGGATTTTCTATATATAAGATCATGTCATCAGCAAACAGAAAATTTTACTTCTTCCTTTCCTATTTGGATGCCTTTTAAAAAAATTTTTGCCTAATTTCTCTGGCTAGGACTTCCAGTATTATTATGCTGAACAGAAGTGGTGAGAGGGGGCATATTTGTCTTCTTCCTCATCTTGAAGGAAAAGCTTTCAACTTCTCACCATTAAGTATGATGTTTGCTGTGGCCTTGTCATATGTGGCCTTTATTGTGTGGCAGTACGTTCCTTCTATGCCTAATTTGTTAGAGAGACTTTTATCCTGAAAGGACGTTGAATTTTGTCAAATGCTTTCTCTGCACCTATTGAAATGATCATACGGGTCTCTTTTCCTTCATTCTGTTAATATGGCGTATTATATTTATTGATGTGTATATGTTGAACCATCCTTGCATTTTTGGAATGAAATCCACTTGATCATGATGCATCATCTTTTCCAGGTACTGTTGGATTCAGTTTGCTAGTATTGTGTTGAGGATTAAATGAGGATGAAGCCCAGTGCATGTGGACATAAGCACCCAGCATGGCAAATGGCACAGGTGCTGGGAGTGGTAGATATCTGTACGTATTGGACAAGAAAACCGAGGTTCAGAAAAGTTAGATGTCTCTGTCAAGGTCACGAAGTGTGTCACCAGGTTGGCTTTGGGCTTGTTCAGATTCCAAGCCAGGCTACTTTCAGCATGTGACTTTTGCTACCCTAATGGCTTTGGCTGGTTTCCAGCAGGTGTGCCACTGCCCAGTGTGTTGCTCCGTGGAAAGTTATCATAAATGACAATGGAACCACTGGCCTCTTTGTCAAGTGGATGGCAAGCACACATCCTCTCCCTTCCTACTCCCCAGGAGACAGTTCCCTCTCATTCTACAACCAGGTCACAGCATGGCACCATGCAGGGGTGTGTGTGTCTGTGTGTGTGTGTGTGTGTGTGTGTGTGCGCATGTGTGTACCTGTGTCCTCAGGGACCCACCTGAAGAGGAGTAGCACAGCTTGGGGGAAGGTCTGAAAGTTGTTGTTCCGGTTGATCTCTGTGGTATCATTGAGGGCAATTTTCCCAAACACCTGGGAGAGGGAAGGAAAAGGTGTTCAGTGACTTGTGGACAGAGAGGGTCCTAATTTTCCACCACTGTTCATTGGTCTCTTCAGGGGTCTCACGGGTCCGTGGAACTGGCCAGTCCACAGGCTGAACTGTCTTCCCATGCAACATGGCAGGCACCTACTGCCCCACTCAGCCCCTAAGCCCAATCCCCACACTGGACAAGTGTGAGAACCAAAGTGCCCACAGCCTCGGGAAGATCCCTGCAGCCCAGTGGGAGCTGGAGCTGAGAGCAGTGCATGCTGGGACTGGGACCCGGCTTCTGACAGGACATAGGATGCACTGGCCTTCTTTACTTTGCCATTTCAAATCTGCATGCCCAAGCACTCTTTCAAATTTAGTTCCTGCATTTTGGAGCGATACGGAGTGAGTGATCGGGAGCCAGGGCAAGCTTAATTCATTCCTGAAATCCCTTTTTTCCCTGTTTTTTTTTTTTTTTTTTTAAGCTGTGCTTACCTTAGAAACTGCCACCTTTATCAGGTATCAAGGTAGCTCTTTTAGTCTCAAAAGGTTTTGGCAACTGAATCTTGGGTCTTTCTGTGATGAGCAAATAGGGGACTTCCTGAAGGAGTGGCCAAGGAAATGCTCTGGGCTAGTGTGGGTGCCCTGCCGAGTTTGACCTTGGAATCTCAAGCTGGATCCCTGAGTCGGGAATGGAGAGCTCCAGGTTTGCAGTGAGAGGAGCAGTGGGCGCCTGGGAAGGGAGGCTTCAGAAAACTGCTGCACATTTGATGCAGTGAACCCTGCCTTGATTTGGCCCTTCCTTGCTTCCTCCTTCCTTCTCCCTCCCTCTCAGTCATTAGCTTCAAATGAATCTGATTGGGGTAATTCTCAGGCCCATCAGACCTGGACAAAAACAGTGGTGCAGGGCAGACACACCTTGCTGCTGCTTCTTGAGAAGGGGCTGTGTCTCTCCCGAGGCCCCTTGCATAACTCGGGAGTGTCTTTCCTCTACCAAGAGCAGAACCCAGGCTTCGGGGAGGGAAGCTCTCTGGGCTACGTATTCTGTACCTGGACATTCTCCTGTTACTTACAGGAGATCCATTTGGGGTAAGTTCCAATTCTTGTGGCCTTTTGGGCTTCAGAAAATGGAAGAGGAGGGAGAGGGATGGTCAGGAATGAGAGAGAGAAGGGAGGGAGGAAGGCATTAGGGAATGTGGTTCCGGGAACTGGGAAGAGATAGAGCAAGAGGCCAGGAGGTGGGAGCCTCCTTACCTGCATCCCGATCACCGCGTAGATGAAGAACAGCATCACGATCAGGAGGGCCACATAGGGCAGGGCCTGGAAGGAAGCACAGGAGACTCCCATAAGGCCCGAGTGCAGAGGCCAGCTGGCCCCTTCCCAGGGAGCGCTGCACCCTTGTCTGCAGCCATCAGCTATCTCCTGGTTTGGGCTGGGGGACATTTCCAAGAATCCCACAGGACTACAGGGAACCTGGGAGAAGGCCTGAGAAACCAGAACTGACTTCTCATTTCAGTTTGGTTTTCAAAGCAGGCTGTGGAGTAATGATATAGTGTGACACTACCTGGGCAAAACAATCAAGAATCAGCAAAACCTGCTCCGACGACACATGTGCAGTATGTTTGTACAAGGCAGGAGGAATGGTGGAGGACAGCACTCAGCTGACTGTGGTTACCTGTGAGTGGGGTGGTGGCAAGTTACACCCTCTCTTTACACAGCTTAACTCTGTCCCACTAGTTGTAGTGAGTGGGTATTACAGTTGCAATGAAAACATTTAATAAGGAAAAATCTAGCAGAAAGATCATGGGTTCAAATCCTGTTTCTGCCACTTTCTATCTATGAGAGCTGGGGTGCTTAACTTCTCTTAGCTTCAGTCTCCTCATGGGAAATGTGGAAATAATAACAATAATGACCTCTCAGAGGTTTCGTGGTTTAAATGATTTAAGGCCTATAAAGTGCTTAGTGCAATGCCTTGCAGAGTTGGGCTCCATACGTTCTATTTGCTCAATGTATTACCTGTCTGGCAGAGCCAGAGCCCCCGCCACTTCTGGGGAGAGGCCATGGTTCCTGGGATGGGAGGTAGAGCCCGCACTCCCGGGCGCCACAGCAGCCCCAGCTGCCGGTCACTAGAGGGTGCCGCGAGAGCACACGCCACCGTCAGGCCTCACAGTCACCCAGTCGGTGCCTCTTCCCAGCCCCGGGAGATGTTGTGGGTCAGGGTGCGTATGTTGGGTCCCTCTATGGCCACTCACAGCCCTGGGTCCCTCGTGCATTCAAGGACAGGAGTGGTGGCAGTCCTGCTTCTGCTGGTGTCTACCATTCCGAATCCCCAGAGCCTTGGCTGAGTGTGACACTGGGTGCAGGAGCCTCAGCTCAGCATCAGGTGGGGGTCAGCCTTGCCAGCTCGGAGGAGGCCTGGCCATTGGGAGCTCCCTGGAGAGCCTTGGATGGTCAGTCCCTGGCAGGAGGCTCTGGGGGCCGAGCCAGGACAGGACTCCCACTGAGGATGGGCACCTTTCCTCTGGTTATAGCCATGGGCACACCTGGACCAGGCCCAGGCACACCCAGTCCCCAGGCAGGGACTGGCCGGGGCAGGGGACAAAAAAGCCATCTTCCCCCACGGCCTCTGGTCTTGAGAAGGCTGAGAGTGGCCCCTCCATTGTGGGGAGAGGAGTCTGCCTTCCACCAGCCAAGGGGAGCAGGGAACAGCCTTCACGGTTCTGCGCTCATCTGGGGGAATTCAAGTGACCCAACAGCTTTGCTTCTTAACTTCAAACCTACGAAGGCTCCTCTGAGCTGGCTGGGGCTGATCATCATTCTGTTTTAACCGGGAAATAATGGCTGAGCAAAGGAACTAATCATGTGGCCAGGCAGTCCTGGGCTCATTCGAGGGGCCTCTCTTGCCAAGTAGAGGACACCAGGGTCCTGAAAGTCTGGCCAAGGACATAACAGGTGCTGGAGCAGATGCTGCTGAAATGCCCATGGGAAGGAGGGTGACGGCCAGATTCTGAAAATGCTGAATTCGAAGAGCCATAGCAGTCACCAGGTTGTCCAGGCCCTCCTTATCACAAAACCCCTTTGTCCAGTAAATTCTTGCCGAGAAAGACATAAATGATGGGCAAAAGTAAGGCAGACCCTTTCTGCCTCCCCTTAGCTCCCATCCCTCTTTTACTGCCTGGCCTTCTGGGGCTCCGAGCCTGCCTTGGAAACCACGCGCTTTGTCTAAGCCTCTCAGTGCGAAATGGGGAGCCAGGCAGAGCTGCGGAGTTCTATCACTCAGAGGAAGCAGCAGAGCCCCAGAGTGGAGGGCTCTTCCCGTGCCAGCTCTGCTCCAGGCCAGGTGGCAGACCTGAGATCCTCAGGCCACAGGACACGAGGGGTGGCTACCTGGAAGGACTTGATGAAGGTCCACAGCAGCGTCCTGATGCCCTCCCCGCGGCTCAGCAGCTTCACCAGGCGCATGACCCGGAACAGGCGGAAGAAGGTGATGGAGATGCGGGAGTTCTCCTCTGCATTCTGGAACCCGTCGGCAACAGGAGGCGCAGTTAGCACAGCAAGAGGGGGTAAGAAGAGGAGGGCCCCTCCGAGAAATACAGCCCTCAGTGGCAGTGGCGGAAGGCAGGCCAGGGTTCGCTGCACTAGACTTCCCCCTTGGATGGGAGGGCAGCCGCCCACCTTTAACGGGTGGACAGCGCAGCCCCACGGTCTCTGCAGAGACAGACTGTGCCCAGGCCCCTGGGCTGTGGTCCTGTTTTTTTTATTCTCCCCACTTCCCCTTCATTCCTAGTTCTTAATGTCCTGGATGGAGGAACAGACGACTCCATCAGGAACTTCCACATGCTTTGGAGTCTTCTAGGTCCAGAGCCAGCTGCCCTGGGAGTCCCTGCCCCTGCACTGCTGAGGAAGCAGCCTCGTTTGTCTGGGCGGAGAGTCCTGTGTCCGGAGTGGGGCCCAGTGCTCTGTGAGGAGGTGGGTTGGTGACAGCCTCTTTCCTGGCTGTAGGTATGAGTGCATTTGGGGGTCCTGTGGGCTGCCTCCAGAAGAGACCTCACATCCCAGCCTCTTGGGACTCCAGCACTTCCCTTGTATCACCTCCTTCTACTTTCCACAGCCGCTGTCCCGAAGGGAGGGACTAAGGGTGCTATTCTGTGCTGGGAGAGGGGCTGGTTTGCAGCCCTTGCTCTGAAGCTGTTGTTCCTACTCCCCTCTGCTCTGGGGCCTCTAGGAGGCTCCAGCCTTCCAGGCTGTACAAGACCTTGGAACGGAGAGGGTCATGGGTCAGGGTAAGGGAAGGGAGGCCTTTCTTGCAACTGATGCTCCTGCAAATGGTCTCCCTCAGGGACCCTGGGGAAGGGGAGAGGGAAGGTGAAGGGGAGGGAGGGTGGAATGCAGGCCAAGGTGAGTGGAGGTGCTTGGGCAGCTGCTGTTGGACCTTGGGGAGCCTGGGGGTTGGGCACATGCCTGGCCTGGGCTCGGGGGGCAGGATGGGCCGCCCTGTCATCCTCTGCCTCCAAACCTGAGAACTGAGCTGACTCCCCACTTGGCCCTCCTTCTGCCCACACCAGCCTGGTGAGCAGGAACCCAGGAGGGAGCCACTGCCACATCCGGAGCTAGTGCAGCTCACCCAGCCCTGCGGGCACCTGGAGAGAATGGACCCTCGGGGCTTCCTGTTACTGTTCCCATCCACACCACCCTCGAGGTGGGAGGTCTCAGGTTGTTCCTGGGGCCACCTGGATCCTCCCCGCTCCTTGCTTTACCTTGCCACTTGTTTATTTTTAATTATTTCTAGGTCAGACTCTCCCTGGCAATATCCAGCGTGAAAGCCCTTCTAACTGCACTGCCTGCCCTGGCTGACCCTAATGTGGCATCAGAGACTGCTCCCCTCACTATGCAGGACAGGAGATTATGAGGGAGGCAGGGAGACACGGAGGCAGCGAGACCCGGTGGCAGCCACCACCCTGCACAGAAGCAAGCCAGCGATCTCTCCTGATTTCCAGACCTTCCAGGCAGGAGAATAGCAAAAATATTTCTTATGTTTCAGAATCACAGCTGCCTCAGTTCCTCCTAAGGCTCCTGTTCCCCTCAAGGCAGGAGACAGACTGGCAGGTCTCAGGACCTGCTGCACGGGTGTCTGAGGGGCTGGGTGGAGAGCTGTGGGCAGCAGCCCTGTCCTGCCCTGGGATCTGCCCTGCCTGTGTGTTCTGAAGCCTTTGATGCCCTTAATCTCTGTATTTCTATCACCTGTGTATCTATTTGAAATTCTATTTTCACTCCATAAAAGGAGATTGTGTTCCCCCAGAGGAGTATGCAGAGGAGGCTTAGGGTTTTATAACTCAGCTGTCAGTTGCACTGTGTTCAGGAAAGGAGAAAAAAAGAAAGCACAAGCTTCAGTGGAGAACTTCAGCTGCAAGTGTCAAGAGTTTGAGAAGCTGGTGCCACAGGGGCATCTGGGACTGCTGAGTTAAAAAAACAAAACAAACACACAAAAAACCAAAAAACACCCGACACGCAGCTTGCAGTGTGAATTCCATTCCACTGTTCAGACCCCTGCCCGGTGGCTGCTGTTTCCTAATGCTGCTTGACAAGGGAAAACACACGCGGCCGTTTGGACGCACCGATTTCCCCTGATAAACCGAATGACGGTGCAAAGACGAGGCAGGTCCAGACAGCTGATCCAGAAAGCAGGGTCCCCAGGAAGTGGGGTAGAGCACCCTGGGTGCAGCCTTTGTTGTGGCGGCCTTGTGGCCAGGCGGGGCCAGGCTGCACCGGGGAATAATCAACCCACCCAAGCTTGCCTCGGCCTGCAGACTTTGTGGCTCAGTCAGTCAACCCACTGGTCCTTCTAAAATCTCATACTTGGCCCGGTTTCAAATGCGTAATGGCAGCCTTTTGGGGAAGGCTGCGCCAAGGGGGCTTCAAGGTCACACTGAATGGTGTCTCTTTTATCACTTTAGCCAAAGCGAATCACAGACTCCTACACCAGGAGTGGTCCCATCAACAGAGCTCACTTTTCTGCTTCCATCCTGCTGCAGAATAGTGGCTGTAGCCTAATTTTAACGGACTTGAGGAATTTAGAAAAATGCAAGGGGTAGCAAGGTTGGAGTGGCTGGAAATTCAACCACACTCTCAGTAACAAATATCTCTGCTTAAACCTCTTACGGTGGCCTTTCACTTGAAGCACAGGGAGGCTAGGAGCCACGGACACTGATTAATAGGAATCATCATCCGCCCTTCCATCTCTTGGCTAGAGCACCTCTTTCTTCCCTCCTTACCCTGAAGCCCTACCATGGCTCTCATAGGTACCCTCTGCAAATTTCTCACATCGGATTAAGGTCAGAGGCTTTGGCCAGTGGAGTCCTCAGGGTGTTTAACAGGAAATGGCCCTCGGGTCCCATTCTCTCCCAGTGGCTTGTTAGATAGTCAAGATCACAGTGAATTACCACCCCAAGGAAAGCTCAGGGGTAACACAACAACACTGCACAAAAGGCACCTTCACAGCTCACATAAGAAGGGAACAGGCAGGCAAGGCACACGGCAGACACGGTGGCCACATGCAGTGAGAGCCAGGCAGGGCTCCCAGGGACTCTGGAGGTCGGGGTGGGGTGAGTGGGGGTGTTAGAGGGGGCCACAGAAGCCGGGAGCGTGGTTGGGAGGGTTGGTCTTACCATAGAGGGAGAGCATTGGGTATGTTCAGCTGGCTTTAAAGAAAGGCAGATAGAGATAAGCTGTAATGAGTCTCCCATGAAGATGCCCGGTATTCTAGGTCTTGGCTAACACAGGAGCAACACAGTGGCAGAAGAGGGCAAAAGGAAACAAGTGAAAGAAACATGAAAGTGTAGGCCTGGCAGGTCCTGGGCATCCCCGTGAGTGTGGGGTCTGTGTTGCTGGGTCTCATGTCAAACCAGGACTCATAGGCATTCTTCTGCCTATGAGCTTTAAATAACTCATGTCCACAATATTATTAGGTAAGCAGCTGAGGTCTTCGGGACTTTGTGGATGGAGGTTTGTAATGTTTTGTTTTAGAGA